ATTGACTAATACGCAAGAAACAGCTAATTTGTATGGTATTTGACCCTATCGCAATCAAGTACAAGGACAATATGTGCGAAAACCCGGTTTAATTTTCCTCCAGTAGCTACTTTAATTCATTATATGGCCGCACCCATGGGTATAGCATAAAAGCTCTACTGTTAACTGTTTTTGATAATCTCAAATATCATTCTGTTCGTATATTTTGCTTTTTCCATAGAGCCGTAATTTTGCCGTTCAGATATTTTTCAAAAAAATTTTACGATTTAATTTCCTAATGAAATGTATTGAGTAGTTCCGAATGTTCTTGCCATTTTTAGGCCTATCCTCAAATTTTTCAGAATAAAGGTAGACAAACACTGTAAAAAGTCTTATATGCAAAACTTCTTCATCTTTCCAGCAGTACTGTTTTTGTTCGGATTACTTTGATGCTCGTTTGAAAAATCGTCATAAACCTTCATTCCATGGTTTTTGCTTAACCTGACTTATGCTAGTTTTTAGTTTCGTACTTGTTCATTTTGATGCTACCAAATATTTACTATGTGTTTATTCCAAACCTCGAAGAACATCAAACGGCAAACAGTAGGGCGTCATTCAAATCAGCTTCTTCTCCTCTTTTTGACGGATGTCTCTTCTTTTTAATTTGTCAAGGGCTCGAGGAAAAATTGACGTGATTCTAGTTTTTCGATCCGTCCCAGACTGCACTCCAAAAATTTCAAAAACTATTATTTCGCGGCCGTAGAAACTCATTCGTTTGTTAAAATTAGTATTTAATCATAATAGATTTTTGGAAGTCCAATTCGCGGAGATTTCATGGCGTGTGAAACTTTTATGTATTTCTTAGGAGTTCGCAAATGTGGAGACTTTTGGAAAGTTGTTCTTAAAATACTGAAAAGCCAGCTATCAATACCGAAAAATTAGATGTAGCATTTTATTTATTCTATTCAAGTGTTATCAAAGCTTTTTGAAAGTTCGAAATGAACGGTACAAAAAATAGCCAAATTCAGGGTACGTAAATTGCACGGGTTGGAGATTGTGGTGATTAATCGAAAAACATTCAAGGAACCCGCACAAAAACATCACTGTTGAAAAGAGAACGAAATTATGCATAGAACAATGCTTAGAATGTTCGTCTATCTTAGCTTCGAATGATTTAAGGATAGGTCTAGAAAACGGCACGAACTTCCGGACCCACCTATGTAGTATAATGTCTAAACTTTTTATATTTCAGTTAGGAGCATGTTCTGTTTGTTCGTATAATACGCTTTTATAAAGAATGAACTTATTCCTATATGGGCTTTGAATTTACTTGAGGACATAGTGCAGGAGTATAGATTTTGTGGAGCTATGCTTCAATTTTTTTCTAGGAATATCTACAACTTGGTTGCAGCTTTTTAAGCTTTCAGACTCAATAAGTATGATATGGGAGTTCAGAAAAGTAGTTTTGCATCATTTTTAGAACTTCGATTTCGCTAAACCACCAACTGTTGTGCAGAACTTCCAAAGTTTCGACTGCTTATTCATTTTTATTCAAAAAACCCTTTACGCAGTTGTAGTAAAAGCGATGAAACCCGCATTTTAATGCGTCATATAATTAAGCATTGTGAATGTTTTACTTATTGTCACGTGCATTTAGTAACTACATACGTGAAACGATGAAACCTTCATTTTAAAGCGTCATTTAATGAAGCATTCTGAATGTTGGACAGACTACAGACGTGAAACTCAACGTTGACTTGGAGACAAACAGCAAGGGAAATCACAGAATTTTTGCATCCAATGTAGCTTATCATGGGGCATGTGCCAGATCTGAGTTCAAAGTTAATCGCGTATTGGCACATGATAAAACACAATTTCCTGCAATTAGATAGCCAAGTTCTTTTAATGGGTAGCAATACTTCAAACGTTTATTGTATCTGATGTCGAAATGATAGGCAAAATTATTTAATGCACATGAATGTTTGCGAAAGTAAGTGTAAGTAAACAATACTTTGCAAAGTGGGCATAAACTAGCGTGTCACGTGTCACGTGTCAAAGAAAGATTTCAATGAGCAAATCGAAAATACCTCACTACTTACAAATACCTAAGTACTTACAGGTATTATATTAAATCGCTTCAAAATTCGCAGAGCTTGCATATTGGTGGAATGACAAATTTTTGTCAATATCTAAATAATAATTTATGTTCTATTCTATGCGCACAACCGATTGCCACCTTGCAGTCATACTTTCACTCAGTTTCGTAAAGGCTCAGCAAGTCTTTCTTGAAATCGACTTTAGAATCGAAGTAAACGCCGTTTCTATGATTTGCGATAGACCGAAACAGGTGCTATTCTCCTAAAGTGAGATCGAAAGTACTTTGGATACTGATGTACCCTCCGGTCAAGTCTTGCAGGACAGTATCTTACGTACAAAGCCAGATTTTGTCGTACAGATAAAGCCGCTGGACCTGTTTAGGTCTTTCCTGTAGTAGAGATTCGTTGAAACGGTGCAGTTGGGTTACGTACACTGTGAGCTACCGTTTTAGCCCTCTCTAATACTAGTAATTTCTCGGGCAGTGCCTCCTGCCCGTCCTATCAAAAGTCTTGGTCAGAGGACATTTTATTTAACCCTCGCTCAGACAATCGCTGGGGGCAGGCGGGCACCGGAAAAATAGATTGCTGATTTCTCGCACCCCGCTCGCGGGTTTTTTGCAAAGCAATCAGGACTTTTCGGAAGACCGGACCGCTTGCTGAGTCAGCGGATTTTTGAGAGAGCGCCTGTTGAATTTTTTTCGCTCTTAACTTTTGCAGATATATTGCTGAATCTCTGAAGAATCGAGAACTCAGCAAGCGGTCTTCCGAAAAGTCCTGATTGCTTTCCAAAAAATCCACGAGCGGGGTGCGAGAGATAAGCAATCTATTTTTCCGGTGCCCGCCTGCCCCGATTGTCTGAGCGAATTTTGAAGCAAATCAATTTATTCAGGTCGCATATTGACATAAGAGCGCCATTTTCCACAGTCGGTAAAATATCTAAGAAAAAGCTTTTTTGATAGGAGAAATTGCACAGTGGAGACGAGTGGTGTAGTGGTATGAGGCGCCGCTATGACCAGATCGGACACAGGTTCGATCCCCGCCCCTGGGCCAACCAAGCCCTCTACCCTCCGGGGGCGTAAATTGGTACCAGAGTAAACTGGGAGGATAAAAGCACTGAATTGGTAAACGGCTGGCCCCCGCAAGTCACTATGATAGGCTCGCACGCATACAATTGCCTCTTCGACTATGAAGTTAGTGTGTGCGTTCGGCGCTTGCCCTCAGAGGGTACTGAAAACGCCGAATCCTTTATCCTTTATCCTTTTAAATTGCACAGTTGCCAAAAATGCTCCTTTTGGTTTGTTTCAGATTTCCATTTTTGGAAGCTGAAAAGTCAAGGTAGATTAACTTTTCATCGAATGCAATAAGTTCACTTGAAAGAGCATGCTCAGTTCTTTTCAATGATATGCACATCTTGCCGCAATTCGACCAAGTTCGCTTAGTCGAAGTGCCCATTTGGTAAGTGATGTTTACCCATGGATACTGCTCTGAACGTTGGTTTAAGGCATACCTTCTACGTCTGCGATGCGCTCTTTTGAAAAAAGTTATAAGCTTTTCTTATAATTTTCATGCATTTTTAGTCGTAAAGTCAAGGTAGTTTTTACACAAAAGTATGCAGGCTCAGGCAAGACACCTAATTAGCATAGTAGGCTAATCAGACATCATCTGAACATTTTCGAATGATGTCCATCTATGTTGTTATCAGCTCGTCATTTTCCTTATAAATCACACTTCCATTATAAATACAAAAAGCCTATAACTTCCTTTAGGAAAATGCTTCACAGATGAAGAAGCTATGTCTGAAATTAGCGTTTTGAGGTCTATCATTAGGTATACATCATCTTCCAAGTCGTCAGACCAAGCGAACTTCTCTCGTAAGCAATGAGGACGTAAATGAACTTTACGAGCTTATGAAACGATATAAAACGATAAGGCAAACGAATCCTCAAATTTACAAACATCTTAACATACCATTGTCTATCTTTTCATATTAGCGGGGAGTTTTGCTTCCTTTTCGGATAAATTTTGGATAGATAACCTACAACTTAACTTTGCAAGTTGTGGAAAAGTTTCATTCGAGAGCTGACTTAAAAATCCCTTATCCCTGTGCAAACTCTGGATATTCAACACGTCAGGGATTACGGTAAATTTCCGCCGATTCAGCTGTTGGTCTTGTTTGATCGAGAGACATGCGACAACTGTTTTTATTTATTCATAGTATGTGCTGTTGCCGATTTCTTCAAGTAATGCCTCCATTTTGGGCAAATCCTCTCCTATTCCAAAACTCGCCAGCAGACTAAAAAGTCTAAATAGTCGTTTACGCTGCGTAGAGGGGGTACTAGTGCTTGTTTTCGACATTGCTCATCTTAATGAAGCTCATATCTACAGCGCTGGACAAGGTTGAAGAGTGGTGAGAAACCCGTTGATAATCGCCCCATTTACTGCATGCAAGTTATTTGCTATGTATCGATGGGGCTCTGCAAGCAAGATTTTTAGATGTGAATTTCCGCTTCAAGAAATGCACACAATCATTTTATTTGAAGGAAGGAACGGATTTGAAGTTTTAATGCGTTAACATCACTCGCTATCATTTAGCTTCAGAGATTTTAGCAACAGGAAACGCCTGTTTCTGTTGAGTCTTCTTATCTTTTTTTTTCAGTGTTGAAAATAATACCTTTTTAATAATCCTTCCAAAACCTTGAACTTTCTAGATGCTACGAGAAGCCAACACTCGTAAGTGCTACAATTTTTCAATATAAAGTGCACCTTTCAAGCGTCTGCTCTACTCCCGCTTCTCAATTCATTCAGTACCCATCGCACATTAATGAAAATTCCTTTTCACAAGTGTTTCTTTCCGCTATCGCATTATTGTTTTTTTCCCTTCATATGCAGTGTAATATCCTTGTTTAGGCAGTTTTCTTCAAAGCCATGGCTTTGCATGACTACGTCGAACTCGCATCGACGGCTGTATTCTTGGCGTCTACAGCACTTAACGTTTTCTTCATCTACATTGTACATACAAAAACGAAGCAGGATCTCGGCATGTATAAATATGTGATGATTTGGTTTGCTATAGGAAATATTGCATATTCGTTGGCGGAATTTATAAGTAAGCCGGTAAGTTTCTGCGAGTTTTTTTCTAGGTTGATTTTAATTCTTGAACCAGTTCTTTTAAATCCGTCTGTTTCGCAGAAAAATTGATTTTACAACGATATAGCCCTATCAAATCTATGTGTCCAAGCTGAAATCTCAATCTACCCTAATTTCACGAGTACAAAACGCACCTGATTTTTTTCTAAACTTGACCATCCTTACCAAGAAATGTTGAAGTCAAAGAACCCTCTGTCTTGTTACTCCTTACCTAAAAGAATTGTGTGCGAAAACTACCATCTCGTGAAGCACAGTAGTGCGGCCGAACTGTTTGTTTGAAAAAAGCAAAAAAGGTGCGTCTTGTACTCGTGAAATTAGGGTGACCCTCTTTACCCAATCTCTCTTTACTCTTAAATTTACATCTAAAAGCAAAAGGTGATAAACAGCTCTTTTATCCTAAGCAATATTGTTCGATGGTTGAAGTACCAATTTCAGCTTTCGTACAGCTTCTTGAGCTTTTTTGAAATTTTTCTTCGACTACACCTTTCGTAACTTTTTGAGCCTTTTTTTCTTTTCTTCAACTAGACGTACCAAATTATCCAGTTCCAGTCCACGACAAGCTGTAAGGTCAGATAAACTCTACCAGTTTTTTCACCTTAAAAAGTGCAGAAAATACATAAAAATAAATTGTGTGAGTTAAATTGATATAAACAAAGTGAAAAATAATCAGGAACTATTTTCACTAGCAAATGAGAAACTCAAACTTGGACGTTTTCCGGCTGGATTGGGCTCCTTAATGGTTATATCGAAGAAAAACTATCATTAAGCTCTGTTACATACGTCACCTTCATTTCCGATGTGCCTGAATTTTTAGCTCTTACTGTGCTTACCAAAAAACCAATCTGTTAGAAGCTTAACAGACTGAGTGCCTGATGAGTTTTTTCTATCATAAATGTGTTAGTGATGGAATAGCCTTGGCTAATGTGTGATGATGAGACGAGTATCAAATAATTTGTTGGAAAACGACCTTTATTGTCAAGAAAATTACGATAATCGGCCTATTTTCGCTTTATCTGTTCTTATAACATCGAATATTTGGGCTTTGAATTTTGCCTTTGAATAAGGCAAATTCTGTAAACTAGGTTGCTAGTCTTTGTAAAAAAAATTTGGTGTATAAGTGGCGATAACTTATGCCTTGATACTTCTTTTTTGAAACATTACTTGTTAGTCATTGTAAAGTCGCATTCCCTGATCTTCCTAACTCCCTGCTTGTTTGGAAGCGAAAATAATCGTTGTCATCGATGGAATAGAAAATTCCGGCATATTTTTTTTTCATTGTGGGCTAAAGATTGCTAAAAAAAGCTGTAGGGTTTAATCTTTATCAGGGCTTTCACACAGGGACTAGTGGGATAGGCATGGCTTCATAGATAGATCATTCTGGAACGAATACCTTCACTCAGAGTAGACGTAATATCTTTTAATTCCTTGCCGTAAGACACTATGGAACTAATTTGAAGAGCTTGGTGGTGTCTAAATAGTATCATACTTGCTTGTGCTTTCCAAAACTACTTAGCCACGATATCCCTATAAAAGAGTAGAAAATAAGTTTGAAAAAGGAGGGGGGGGGGGCAAAATTACTCCTTGATTTTTGCTCTGAAATTAAGTCTATTAGTTCGCTAGAAATTCACCATCCCATTGTTCTCCATATAAAATTGAAGGCAAAATGACCTGAAAACAATATTCTTGGAGTTTCAGCACCGGAAGTATCCATAAAACTTCCTCAGCTTGCAGTGTCAATAACACTGTTAATAAAATCATCACAACTCAGTATTTATATAAGAATCAGCACTAGAAGAGTTCTGACACCTTTTCGTTTACTCAGCAAACACTTTTTCATAATATCGCAAGGAGGATCTAGATTGCACTCTTTCGAGTCTTGATAATTAGTCCCATCCGACACACTAATCGAATGAGTCCGCTTTTTTGCCCTAACAGACCTCTTTCCCTCAGATCTAGGTAGAGCTAATGAAAAAGAAGAAAAACGAAAAGGGAAGAGTTCAAATGCTGAAAGATTTATTTTTAGACAATTCATATCTACAGTAACTCATACATGACGATAAGCCGAAGTTTTATGAGACGGTACAAAGAATGGGGATTTGTCAGCTTATACGTCTTCATTTCAATGTACGGTGCAAATACGGCTATTTTGGCGTTGCACTTCATCTGTAGATACATCATCATTTGCAAGTAAGTTAATCATTGAGTTTTTAACCCCTTTAACTTTGGGTGCTACTTTTTCACATTAAAGGCAGTGTCCAGGCCCTGGGCGCACGGGTTTTTCGCCTGGAAATTGATGAGGGGGTCCTAACTAAATCACTGCCCAAGAGGCAGCGCAAAGTTTATTCACGGCTGAGAAATAAGTCCGAAAAATAAGTCTCCGCCTGCGCCGTGACCGTAAGCAAGCGACCCGCTCACTTTAACACTACGTTCGCGCTGGGACCCATCCTAAGAGACGGCCACGGCGCAGCCGCGGAGCGTTTGGTGATGGATTTCTCAGCCTTGAAGGAATCGTTTGCGTTGCGGTTAGGGCAGTGACTTAGCTGGAATTTCCTCATCAGTTTTCAGGGAAAAAGCCCATATGCCCAGATTTGTCTGGACGCTGCCTTTAAGTCGTTAGTTATGAGGTGATTCATGTGTTTTAAGGTCCAGAATGAGAGAAATAAAACATCAATACAATGTTTTGTCACCTATAAATTTTATGAGAATAATTGTTTCCAAAGCTTGCCTCTTTACCACGCGCTAATCGTCGACATTTCAGGCACAGTTGGATGTTTTTGATTGAAAAAACTCGGTACATTATCATGTGGGTAACGATCGTGTTCTTTTGGGGTTTCACCTATGGCTTCATTGCCTACTACTGCTTTGCACCCACCGAACATTTCTTCAATTATGCTAGGGCTTCTGTAAGAGAAAGATTTAACGAGAAAATCGAAGATATGCCTTTTTTCGCAGTTTTCGTATACGTGAGTTTTCCCTGCGTTTTCTTCGATTCCAGAATAACCTTCTTTTTCTGATTCAGGAGGTCATTGCTGGAGAGTTGATAGTGCATTGGAAATGCTGCATAGGACTTGCTATCATCATAACAATGATGCTTACTACGCTTACAGTTATGATATCAACTGGGTTTATAATGGTGACGACGCTGAAAAAAGTTACCATGAGCGAGAAGACAAAGATGCTACAAACGCAGTTATTGAAGGCTCTGCTGTTTCAGGTATGATTTACTCTTCGTTAGGAATCTTTTACACTTTTCTGGTGATCCACCGTGCAAGTTTTGCAACATCGTCTATTATTTCCAAAAACCCAAACTCTCTCTTTGTAATCTGAGTAACAAAATTCAACTTTCTGAACTGAGCATGTTGTTTTTGTATTCTGGTATTCACACTAGCCATAAACAATGGCTGCTATTTTGTAGGTCCTGCAGCGGAACAGTATCAAGACTGTTCTGAACAACCATTCAGAAGTAGTTTCGTTTGTCTTGTAGCAACTAACTTCAATGTCAATGTAGACATGAAGACCTCGCCAACAAGTTTGCTCAGATTCTATTTACGGATATTGTGGTACTAATGAAATGGAGGTTTTGTTTTGTCGTACGGAGAAATCAAGTGACCAAAGTTGACAGTTGAATCAAATGCAATCAGACATAACAATGCAGCACGGATACAAATAAATGACTTACTTCATACTCGACAAAGAAGAAGTAATGACGATAACCTCGATTAATTTCTGCGTATCGCATGCATTGAAGAAAAGAAAAATGCAAGGTGTAGGTTTAGTGTTTGTACAGAGCTGCTCAAATTTTTGACTTTGTAAAGCACTGTACTGGAGGCGACATAAACATAGTTATGGACTTAGCTTATAACCAGCCAAAAAGTGAATGACACAACTTTTCAGTTTTGTCTCCATTAGTGGAGCTGCCGACCAACTAATCGTGAAGTTAGCGCGGGCAATATTCGGGCCAGGTGGCTTTTTACCCTAAGAGTAATTTTTGAATTCTACAGCACTTTGCACTTTGTATATGAATTAACTTAAGCGTTACAAGAAAAAATGATGGAATTTTTGTTCGATACATGGCCCAGTGAGCGCTTATGTTATAAGACAGTTGGAAGATTCAGTATTCTAAAACTCTAATTTTTACAGCTCAAAGCAAGCATTTGCTGGTAAAAATAAACCATCATTTTCTTATATGAAATTGAGCAGGTCGTTAAAAATCCAAAAATCTCCATATTTAATTCCGAATTTGACTGGACAGGGAAGCAATTTCTAGTTCTAGCCCCGAAACCGGTTTTGTGTGAAATTATCTTTTCTCATTGACTTATCAATATCAGCTTACTCGAACCTTGCCTCCATCATATTCAGTACTCAGCGTTTGGGTGTGGTCCATAGAAATGTAGAGTGAATAGAGCCAAATAACCTTGTTGGGAGACACCCATATCTGTTTTCATAGCTGTGTCGAATCATAAAATAACATCTAATTTTACAGGCGACAGTGCCATTTTTGCTCTCCTACCTGCCAAGATTTCTCATGTTTGCCTTTGTGATAAAAGGATATCCCAGCCATAAGTGAGTACCTCATATAGAATATCAATTTCTAATTTCTCGCACTTGCTTTGCTTACTAAATCAACTTACCCCATTCAGAATATACACTTTCGTACCGGTGATGATTACGAGCTACACGTGTTTGGATCCTCTTGCTGTAATGTACTTCATTCATGACTATAGAGAAGCTGTCCATACGTTATTCCACTGCGATGATCACGCTCTCACTAAGAATCTCTGGGTCGCCAGCTACTCCCGCTTATCGTACCGACAACAATCGTCGGTTTGATTCGATTGTTACATATGTATTTGTTGAGATTGTATTTATTTGTGTAGGAATAAAATTTCAATTTACTAAAGGCAGTATCCTTTCTAGCTTAGCAGCTCTGACATGAGTGAAACTCTAACAAGTGCTTAATGTATCCTTTCTAAAAACTCCAAAACCAAAAACTTCAAGGCGTTTCATATGACGTCAGAAATCATAAACCCTACTCTTGGCAACTTTTTGAGCTAATTACGGACCAGTACATCGTTGAAGTAGCGCTGAAGCAAGATTACTTGAATCGGAGAAGAGAATATAATATGTAGACTATGCTGAAAAGCATACAACTTTGTGTTCTTTGCTACCATATAAATTATTTTTAGTTTTAGTTTTTTAGGAAGCGAAAGCTGAGTCCGTCCTGAAAAGAATAAAATCAAAAATTCTACTTCAAAATTTCAACAAAGCTTTAACTATCAGATCACTTGATTTGGAAAAGGCAAAGCTGAAGCAGGTTGGCCAGAGTATAGTATTTTTAATCAGGTTTGAGAAACTGCTGATTTTGAAGGAATTGTAGCCAAGTTCTGTCGGTACACTATAATAAAACCGCCAAGTCTTTTCTCCGCACAACATCCCCCTGTCCCGGTCCCACTACCTGCATGCCAGTACCCTGCCTCAACTAGGCTATCGTAATCAGCATGCTCATCTTCTTATCTCAACTTCTAAAACAGTAGCTCGGACTTTGCAAGAAATTGTTAAACTCTATATCTATAGATAACGAAAAGTAGCCTAGTACACTCGCCCCGCCCTGAAATGTATGTATGCGAAGTTTGGTTCGGATTGGTTCAAAAATGGTATATCGTGCTCCGAACATTTACACAGACATACATAACTATGTATATACAGACATTCGGTTTTATATATAAGACAAGCTGGCATCCCGGGGTTCAACCCGTTCTGGAGCCAGTCCGTCATTCTCGTCTCTCAGGTAGCCAAACTTACCCTTCGTTTGATTCCGACTCGTCTTGGGTTCGCTTCCTACCGCCCTTACCATATCTTGATGACCAGCAGCTCAAAATGAACTTCAACGCTCATCCTTTATGACTATGGGAAATGTGCACAGACAGACCCACAGATTTTCTCTTTTATAAAGACAGAGATTAGTATTGCTGTTTCCTGATGAGGAACAATCCTATTTCACAGTTGGATCAGTGCAGTTTGGGAAGCTTTTCTAGTTACTGTTATTTCCAAACAGCTGTGTTTCGATTTACTTGGGACAAGGGAATTTCAGTCCTTTGAGCAGAAAAAGCTATGTATTACGGGATGTAAAGCGATATTTCTTATTTAGGGAACACGTAATATAGACTGCTTCTTGGTATCCCATTGTTCAGACAAGCTGATTATGGATATTGTATTATTGCACGGAAGTAGCTATGGTTTGGTTGTTCTCTAGGAGATCTCCTTGTTACTTCCAGTTAGATCTTCAGTAGGCTGATACTTCGAACTTCGCACAGCTTTGTTAGAGAAAATCAATTCAAATTTTAGAACTACTACCTTGGATACATGTAAACTGAATTTCGTAAAAATTCCTTTTTGCCTGGACTCCTACGGATATGTTTACAGATTCTAGAGATTTATGTCATTAAAAAGTTATGCCATCATACCTTCTCAATATCAGGTAAAGGCGTAAATGCTTGTCAACATCAAATTCTAACACCCAAGTCACCTTCTGACTCGATCATTTTGGAAAACCATGCTGAAAGAACGATTCGAGCCTTAGCTAATCAACTGTAATGCGAGTTTGAAAACTGCAAAATGAGTTTTTTTTTGTTGAGGTTGAAGTGATGATGCTTGTTTGTCGCTTCCTTCTGAATGAGCTTTCAGAATTAATTAGTGTCTCTGAATAGAATATTTTCGTCTTTTTGTGCGTTTAAAACTGCTTTTAGTATCTCATTATACAAATATAGTCATTATTTGCATGCCTTGCAATGGCAGAATGCGTTTGCAGCATATTTTTTAAGATTACAATTGGTGAAACCGAGCAGAAGCATTTGATTCTCAAAATTTCTCTTTATGCATGGTTAGTAGAGATTTCAGTAAATAGAGAACCGTTGTAGATATATGCGCACTGCGCTGTTAGTAAAACTGGACATACTTGCATTTTGTGATCGAATTGATTCATACTCAAGTGACTTCGTTTTACGAATCGTTGGCTCTTTGCGTTAGACGACCTTATTAAATCGGCAAAATTTTTCTGTAGCTGGTTACTTGACCTTATAAAAAACTAGTTGAAGCAGTGCAAATACCGTATGGTGTATACATTTTGTGTAGGACATAACGTTCTGAAATGTGAAATCAGTTAAAGTCCATCAAGGACCATTTGTGCTGATGTTGTCAACAAGACAGTTTCGCACGATGTACTTCTAAGCCTCCTGTTATTTTTTGCAATGGGAGTAATAAAATGGTGCAATATCGGTTCCCCTTGAATTTTTTTTGTCTTAATGACTATGAAATCTCGCAAGAGGCTCAAATTCGTTTGAGCATACATGTGATGGAGCTTTTCTTCTTTTCTTATGTTTGCATCGAACCAAAACCTTCGTACATTTTTTGACAACTGGAAATACTTCATCTAACATTATTACCTGCTCGGAGTCCGGTTAAGTCTCGAAGCTAGCGGGAAGAGATCTCGGACTATATGATAGCGCTTTTAGAGTTTTCTCTTTGTTGCTTGAAGTTTACAAGTCTTTTTGAACATTTCATATTTTTGCTAGAGTCGTGAGACATACAAATGCAGCAAAGACAGATGCAGCAAAGACACAATAGCTCTCAGTGATTCTGCGTTAGAATTTTCTTCTAATCAAATATCATCTGCAACATAATCGAGTTTAATTTGCTACAAAGAGTAAGGTTTTTGGAAAGAGTGGGTACGCCTACTACTCTAATTTCACGCATAAGGCGCACTTTTCTGATTTTTCAAGCGAGCCGCTCAGCCGCTTCATTGTATTCCGGAAAGGGATCTTTATACCGCACGATTCCCTCAAGCAATATGCAGCACGTTATAGGGTCTCTTGGTTGTAAAGTCCCTTGGAGTGTCTGGGCTGGCCGATTTTGGAAAAAAATCCCGCGCGCCTTATACGCGTAAATTTAGGGTACATGGGGATGCTAAAAAAGCTTATTTCTATAAACAATAAATACAAACAGGAACTTGACCTAAGTAAAAATTAAGTAAAATGTAGCCAACTAGGTATCAGCATTTTCTAAAGCACTAGGTTAAAGAAAAATATGGGGAAATCTGACGTAACCTTTAAACTGGTCTTGGGAGCATTATATTTCTAGCAGGATCTAGATGTAGCTCGTTTGAAAGGCAATCGTACCATCGCCAGTTGCAGATATGACTGGAAGCCTTGACGATCTTTTGCCCAGTCATTCATAATTTATGTGTCACTTACCCAAAGACAATTTTCTTCTTTTGAGATGCGCACTTATGTTTGTTTCTTGCTACAAGAGTGAAAGGGTCAATGTGTTTGAAATCTAACTTGTTATGAGAATTGCAAAAAAAAGGATTTCAAACTCCATTTGAAGAGAGTGAGAAAATTTGGTTGATTTCTGGCCTTTTGCGTACAAAGAGGTTTGTTTACGAGTATGGTAGAGCTGTTTGACTAATGGCAAATTGTCTTGCAACATTTTGTCTGCGTGGTGATGTCTGCATAGGATATTTACCAGGCGCTTTCATCCTGTTTTTTCTTATGCAATATCCTATTTAGAATTGGTCACCACTATAATTTCACTATAAAAATGAAAAAATGTATCTTACGGTAATGCGTTAACAGTTAGTGTTCAATCTGCTACAAAATGTGCAAGGCTCCAGTTCTACCGCAGTTTTTTGTTGACTTCAAAGTGTGCCTAATGAAAATGAACTATATACGCGTGTTTGTTGGGTACAATGATGAGCATTTAAAATGATGAGCTTTTGTAGATCTTTATTTGTCGCTTGTCCATGTTCAACTGATCTCAATAGTTTTCAAATCAAATCGCGCAAAACGATGTGCAGGAAGTTTTGCAGTTTTACATTTTGATATGATCTGTGACGATCTAGTAGAGCTTGATCTTCCTCAAGTCTGCTATCGTTCTGCGATTCTGCTGTAACGGTGAGAATGCTGAGCATTTTTTTTTTTGATAGAAAAGCTTCTTAAATAAACGAAATTCGTAGTATTAGGTTGTCCCGAAAGTTCTGTCGTTCCATTTTTGGAAAGTAACTTTTTGCTATCTAAGCGGTTTTGTTTCTTTTCAGATTCACTAGAAAGAAGAAGTCTTCGTATTTGTAGGGGTTCTGAGAAAAATTGTGCTGTTCGGACGTCTCAGTAAAAAGTTATAATCTTCGAGTTTACAATAAAAAATGCCAAAATTGATAAATTTATCACTTCTCGAAAGTTATAACTTTTCATCAAGACATCCAAACGGCACAAGTTTTTCTCAGATGCAGAGAGTAGATCATAAAACTGATGTACTGACAATTTCAGATTTTCTGCAGCTTTTCAAATTTCTAGCATCTGACTCAAAATGGTCAAAGCTCAAGTGGTCTTCTTTCTCCACTTTTATCACAAATAGGAAGACTTCATCTTTCTAACGATTAGAAAGAAGCAAATCCGTTGAGACAGCGAAAAGCTGTAAATTTCCAAAATGAGATAACAGAACTTTCGGGACAAATAAATCCAATAGATAAATTAGCATCATATGAAACGATCTCTTCTCAAACGGTGACTCACCAGCTCCCTTTATTGCACTATTTTCCTATTTGTGACTGGTATCGGTTCTATAGAGTTCATGAACGAAACAGTATTACGGCCCAAACGGCTTTAGACCCAATCAATATATTAGGTTGGTGCAAAAGTAATGCGCGTTTTGCGAGTTCCCACTTTGACGTGCTATAACTTTGTAAAAAATCCGTATTTTTCAGTGCGGTCAAGTCCATCAGAGGCACCAAACTTCTCTCTATACAGCGCACACTAACTTGTGCTAACATCACAAAACGGTGGGAAAATATGGATTGATAAGCGAAAATTTTTTTTTCGGAAACCTCGTTTTTAACTGATCATAACTTCCTTCAAGATTTGTCGGTATAAATGAAAAGTTGACTGTCTTGTAGCCGCAAGCCAGTAGTACGAAAAAAAGTTAAGAGGAGCTCAAACAAAGAAGATTCGCGAAAATGAAAAAATAATATTCAAAAATGCCCGCTTTTTTCGACATTTTTTCCTAGCCCTCAAAATCCCAAAATAAGGAGTTTTTTGATTTTCTGTGTACTGAACAGCTTCCGCATTTCTGCAAAAACTGTCAACAGGAGGCCCACTCTTACGCTTACAGAAATGAGCGAAACTTTGGCGATTGCCTTCTTCAAAGGAAATCTATGGGCCAAAGAATGGTCAAAACCATCACTCATGTTGAGGCGCCGAAATTTCAGTCTAAATAATTCCCGAGAAAACAGCAAAGTGTGCATAACGTAGAAAAATTCTACTACATACAGCAGTTAAATTTTCTAGAGAATGCGTTTACTCGCGCTGAAATTCTGGCCAAAAAAGTAAGTGCAATGAAATTCTGATTTTGATTGCGGTTGTATGAAGCTCTAGAAATTTCTAACGAATGAGGCTAGAAGCTTACTTCAACCACCACTGGATAGAGCATGAAAGAAGCTTCTTGATAATTTTGATTGCGGTTGTATGAAGCTCTAGAAATTTCTAACGAATGAGGCTAGAAGCTTACTTCAACCACCACTGAATAGAGCATGAAAGAAGCTTCTTGATAGTATGCTGGGTAAGTTTCTTAGGAGAAGCTTTGATGGAGAAAAGCTATCTTGAAACAAGGGCTAGAAAAACGCGCATTACTTTTGCACCAACTTAATACTTAAGAACGTATAGGCCAAAAATTTTAAGTACCAGAATATGAATTCTACTGCTTCTTCTACCTCGTCGGCAGGGATATCTGTGCAAACCTATAGTCCTTAACCGCGTGTCCAAGCAGTTTAGCTGACACATCTATATTTTACACCTTTTCCTCCAATTTTGAACTAATTATCGGATTTTATAGATGGATGTCAATGAGTTCATGCACAGCGCTTCACCAGTCGTATTTACGCTTGCAGTGGTACTCAACTCCTTTTTCATCTATATAGTTGCTACAAAAGGGCGCAAGAACATCGGCTCTTATAAGTATTTGATGATTTCTTTTGCCGTGTGTAACATCCTTTATTCATGCTCTGAATTCCTTAGTAAACCGGTGAGTTAGTATTACTGCATCGAATTTGAAAAATGGCTTCGTTTGTGAAAACATTTAAAATATTTTTTCAGGCTGTGCTCATCCATGGCACTTCTTATATGGCTTACAGTAATGGAATTCTCAATCATTCTCCGCCTTGGGGTTTTCTGTTGCTCTGCTTCTTCATTGCTATGTATGGTTTAGACACTGCACTCTTGGCTCTACATTTCATTTATCGATATGTCATCGTTTGCAAGTAAGTCAAGGCACTAATGTAATGAATTGTACTCCAAGCCCTTATGCATTTAATTGTATAAAATACTTCAGACCCTTCCTTCAAAAGTATTTTGAAAAACCTTACTTAGCTTTCTGGTCTATTCCCATGATTTTGTGGGGTCTCATTTATGGCTTCCTAACATACTCCTGTTTCTGTGCTACTGAACATTTTTACCAGTAGGCTGGCGGTGCTGTTCGAGCAAAGCTACGACGGGATATCAGAGAATTATCATTTTTCTGCATTTTCACACATGTAAGCCGAAAACAGAATTTTCATGGCACAGGGAGATTATCCAGTAATATTTGAGGAGACGACATCAGATGGGACCACCATAATCAATTATGAAAATGCAACTGCACTGTTCTTAATTACTGTTATGATGATCATCACCTTCTCAATAATGGTGATTTGTGGCGTGTTGACGGCAAGAATGTTGCGGAAAACCACCATGAGCAAGAAAATGTTCGAGATTCAAAAACAACTCTTGAAAGCATTGACGGTACAGGTACGCGCTGCCAAAACTGTTTTCTCACAAGCATGAGTGTTGGGTCTCAACGGGAATCAGGGCTGAAACCACTGTGTTTTAGGCGCTGATACCTTTTGCGCTCGCCTACATGCCTCGCTTTGTTATGTTCTTCTTCGTGGTCATGGGATATCCACCACTAAAGTAAGATTACTTTTGAAATGTTCTTGGAATATGTACGTGTTGCAGGATTTTTTCGTACACACCTTTGATTATAACCTTGTACACGGTACTGGATCCTATAGCGATCATATTGTTCGTCAATCACTACAGACTAGCCGTAGTTGATATGGTAGTGGTACCATTTCGGCGAACGTCTGTCGGTTCCACAATAGAAATACAGCCAATGTCAACACGTTCGTCATATGCGGATATTCATCGCGCGACAGAAACGGCTTTCACGCACACTTGGAAAAGATCATTGTGATTTGATTGTGCAGATAACTCAATTACAATGCTATAAAGTTGGCTTTCTTAGCAACTTTCCAATCTTTTTTTTGGAATTTCTATTAGGTTGTCACCCAAGTTTTGTTACACTTTCTTCGTCTTCCTCTGGAAAACTTTAGAAAATTCGACAAGGGCTCATATTTGGCATGTATGGGAAAGGAATAAAGGGCTATTCGCGGGCATTGTTTATGCCCTCACGACATGTCTTTTAGTAAATATAAAGGCAACTTTATAAAAGCACTCCAACCTCTATTTTTTCTTTATTATTGGAAGATTTTCTTACCCTACTTTTCCAACTTTTCTAGATTTTTTTATGGACTTCTGGGAGGAGACTGGTATAATACTAAGGCACTTTGGAAGTTTGAGCTCTTCAATAACCAAAATTGGAAATTTGACAAAAATGATTTGGAAAATCAATTCGAAAATTTGATAAGTAGATCACTAGGACTTACTGGTATGCGATAGAGTTAAGGTTAGCTCTTTTCACAACTTTGATGGTTTCCCTCTGGCTGCTCTCCTCCGATAGGGTCTAGACTAACACATGTGGAGAAGGCTCTTGGCGGCGTACTGGCCAAATCCAAAAACCTATAATCTACGTTCAGACCTCTTGTAAAAGATGAACACGTCAAACGTCGGTCGAATAAACACTCACCAAGAAACCTAATTTCGGACATCAATCAACTATTGACACATATCGAAAATTTGATTTTGCATGCTTGACATGTATACATTAAAAATTTGCAACGCTATACATAAACTGGAAATGGGTAAAATCATTTGACAATGTCAGATTTTTGCAGTCGAGTGTAACAAAAACTTATGTAAAACAACCTCATATTGAGCAAGTGCCAGATCGACAAGAGCCTGTTATGTAAGCTTCCAAGTGGTCGTGTATCTATGATTCTGTTCTGTGCCATATGTGTCTTCTTGTCAAAAGTTGCTACAATTAGCATTTCTAAAGCAGTGTTCACAGCAAAACTTACTTTTTGAGAATCGCATACAACCGTAATTACAGTGTGCAAATCTTCCTCCGTGTGAACGATGTTTTCAATCCATTTTTTAGTTTTGAGGTCATCGCAAAGAGAGTTCCAAGGTTGAAATCGTGCTTTGATCCGGGCTGGCTGATTGACGCGGGGCTTCAATAGCAAATCGATTTCTAAGTGCTCGATCGCTAAGTCTCTAAAGGAAGGGCAATATTCAGTTGATGGAGTAAGTTTCAAGAACTCCCACGGCATACGGATTACATGAGCAAAATGAGTATGAAATTGTTCCAAAGGTAGAAAAAACTTTAGCGGCTGAAAGTTAAGTGGATCATATTCCTGGCCAGCCATCCCGGAATTTTTTAGAGATAAATTTTTCAACGAATTTCAGAGAATCCAGCCTATTAGCTACTAACATTTTGAGCAGCACCTATATGCGCCCAATCCCTTCGGAATTCGGATTTTTTTTGAACAGGGTTTCCAAGTTTTTAGGCGAGCTTATTGGCGGCACTGTCCTCCCTTCCTCGCTTTGTTTACTAATAACATACATATGTCGTGTTAATCCAACGCGCAGATTATGCAGTGCAATCATAATATTAGGCTGGCACATAAGTTTTGCCACTTCCTTCATAGCTTCTCTTTTTGAATGAGGCGCAGCCAAATTTTGGCTTGTGTAAATCAAGAAGTGTGCTACAAATCTGCCCGCATTTTCCTAAGAGTGGTCAAATTTGAGGCTTTGCATTTTTTTAGCAAAAGCGAACCTTACATCCTAGGTCAGAAACTTGGCTAGTTGAGCTTCTAGTCCCGCGCTTTTTTTCCTTCTCTAGGTTAATTCACTTCCAAAAAGGTGGAGATGACATACATTACTCGCGAATCACTTCGTTCAATGGTTATCTCATTCAAAATAGTTTTGCAACAGCTAACGCATTGTAACCGCTGGCTTGAAAAGTAACAGGAGAATCGAGATAACCTGAGGAGCCTGAGGTTGAGCTATAACTAGGCTGCGACTCTAAACGTCATCTCCCAGCTTATAACAGGGATTACTACAGCGCGTTGTCTACAGTGTCGTGAAATCTCACTTCCGCTGCGTAAGAGAAAGACCAAGTTCACCGCTAAAATTGTTCCGGTTTGCACAACTTCAAGGTACAACCCATCTTGGTACCGACAGAATGACGTCTGCTGTAACAGACTTAGTCAGTGGCGAAGCATGCGACTTTTTCGTTATTGTTACAAACTCGCTCCTGACGCCCACAAATTTTGTGAGATTTCGTTAGACATTGATACCTCACGCCTTTCCAGTCAAGCGCAACACTGCTACAGTTGTGTTTGAAATTGTGCCAAGATATAAATCAGGCTTTCTTTTTGAATATTATAAAGTGCTTATAACCAAACTCAGACGAGTGAAAAAAATGTTCAGTTACAAATGAAGAAGGACTCAAATGTAAGCTCTTTCAAACGCGTGAGCCCTCTCTTTTCGTTGCCTGCAATGTCAAAGTGGACGTGTTCTAAAGAAGAACGTATTATGGTTCAAGGCGTGTAAAATATCTGTGCAAACACCTATGATTTACTGCGCGTGACAAACCTATTCATTTGAACAGCATGTATGCACGCATTCTTGATACTGCCTTTGCTCCGCAATGCAAGACGCGTTTCTAATCACAGTGACAACAGTCCGAGGTGCGCCATCAAGGCAAGCGGTGCCGGCTGTATTCCAAGACGATAACCCGATAAATCTGTAACCTGCCAGCATGCAGCAGACACAGGCACAGCAGACACTACCTTAATTACACAGTACATGAAGCACCTGTTTTCTTCAAACTCGACCAACCTAAACACAAAAAAAAATCTCGCTATCGATGGACCCTCTGTCGTGCTGCTCCTCACCTGAAAAATAGTGTGGGAAAGCGGCCATTTTTTGATGCACAGTGGTGCCCGGAAAAATGAAAGTCTGTGCTCTCAGACAAATCACCGGAACTTCCGCAGGACAAGCCAGATTTGCCGAAGTTCCGCAGGACTTTGTCCACTATTGAAAAAATGAAAAAGCTGAAAACCAGAACTTCCGCAGGACCTTCTTCAAAATCCTGCGGAAATTCCGAAAAATGCCAGAGGTTCCGAAGCACTTTGGCCTGCCAGAACTTTCGCAAGGTTTTAAATGTGTTGTCTCGTAATGTTGCCTCGCCAACAACTAGAGTGCATTATCAACATGTCAGTCGTAGTGCAAAGGATAGTAGGTGAGTCTCACAGTCAGTGAAATAAGGTTCAAATCTGGCTTCGCTGTTCTCTTTTGCCGTTGTAGTTCGCAGTCTTCGGAACTTCCGCAGGTGACCCGGCGGAACTTCCGCAAGCGCTCTGTGGAAGTGTCATTTGTCTGAGCTTGTAAAGTTAGGGCATACACTTTAAAAGTCTCATTCACAATGCAGTGGTTTAGTAATGTTGAATTTTGGTTTCCAAACCGATGAAGCGTCGGTGAAGTGGATAAGTAAGGAGTTCGTTTTACCATTCTTTTGAGATTAACATATTTGATTACGCTTTGCACCAATTCTCCGATCAAAACGTTTTAACAAGTTTTTACTTGTGATCTAACTGATCTGAAACCTATTCCACTACGAGCGGCTATCAGATTCCTGTGAAGACAAATTGCGAATTTTCCTTGATGATAAGATTGCATTGCCGCCTGATTTTTCCATCCTGAGCGGTTGCTCTCCCTCGCCGTACGTACCCCCTCCTGAATTCCACCGCCTCCGTCTCGCCTCCAGTACCTCCACCTCATCTTCAGCCTACTTCCCCCCCCCTCGTCGCCTCCAGCAAATCCCTCTGCCCACGAGGAAATTTCTTCATCGAAATTCTACCCATTTCCTTCGCCTCCGGTGTCACTAACTGGCCCGGCTCTCCCTGTTTCATCGAACTGGCATCGATATCGACTACCTATTGCTGCCTTTCTACCTCGACTCCATGTCTTGCTCCTACCTGCCATTCCTGCTCATTTCTCCAGTACGATGCCGATCAAAAGAAGCAAGAATGAAGAAGCCGCTCCTGCCACGCCGCTTGTTTGGCTAAAGGAATTTTTACAAATACAATTATTTCGCAAGGTTTTGACAAGATTTTTGAACTCGTTTTGAAAATGCAAAAAACTCAACAATTTCTCTGTGACTCCTTTCGTGGTTTGAATGCGCGCTTGTCTACCTTAAGCGAGGGGGATTATGGGGACGCCGCATATAGTGCTCTTGTCAAGTTTCATGCCGATGCTGGGATCGTAAATGAGAAAGCCCGTAGAATCACTTGGGTAGGCATTGATGAAAAGGAAACCGACTATGACACTTTGGCCTTCGATCGTGAAGCGGTCAAAGAAGTCATTGAAGCTTCCGGAGACGAAGAACTCCTCAGTGAGTGGAACAATAGGAGGATCGATGTTCGAAGATACCCGGAAACACGCCCGAAGAAGAGCACAAGGCCGAGGGTAATCAAGATAACCACGAGCAGCTCGCAAGTTAGGAATAACTTGCTAGATCACATGAGAAGAGCCAGACTCTTTCTCACCAAAGGATCTGTTCACTCCTACGCCCGGAAGGATTATACTCAGGAAGAACTGGAGATCGATCGGACTCTTAGAAGGAAGGTGGCCAACTCAATCGTCAAGAAGGAAGACTTGCATACATTGTGAGGGACCTGCGCATTCATAAACTGAAAACACCGCGCTATATGCCACCTGGTCCTTACAACGACCGTCCCAGTCAAATGGATAACAAATAGAAACTTGATTCGGGATATAAATAAGTATCTTAACAACAATGTTAGCAGCCCTCGTCCTCGTCTTTCACTATCTGGTCAAGGAATCGATAGTCGCTAGGATGCGGGGGTGAGTACCTTAGCGGTATAAGATACTTATTTATATCCCGAATCAAGTTTCTATTTGTTTCATTCGCGCTCCATTTGTAACAAAACATCTAATCTTGAATTTTTTCTTGATAAGAGACCCCTTGGTGTTCTCATTACTGAGACG